ACACACACACACACACACACACACACACACTGCTCCTGACCAATGACCCTTGCTTTTCCAATGGTTTCCTATCCGGAAGCTCACACTGGGAACAAATAGAAAAAAATGACTCCCGTGTGTCTCTTGGGTGCCCCATGGAGCTCTACTACCCATAGACCCCTATTAGTATTATTATCTTATTTTTATTGTTTGTTTGCATTTTTACCACACCTGGCAATGCTCAGGGCTCATTCTTGCTCTGCACTCAAGGATCCTGACAGCGTTAGCCATGAGCAAAGCAAGTGCCTTACTCCCTGTACACACTCTCTCTCTCTCTCTCTCTCTCTCACACACACACACACACACACACACACACACACACACACACACACACCCTAACACCAGCATCCACAGAACCTCTCAGCCAGAGTTCTCTCCCCTGGCCCTAGCTGCTCCTGACCTTTCTTGCTAACTTCTCTTCCTTCCATAGGGACCGACCCCTCCCTTGGCTTTAGATCACCGGTCCCCCAAAGATTCCATGGCTCTGGATCTGGAGACACCCATGTCTGTCTCTTGTTGTTCAATAATGCCTTGACCATGAAGGACTCTAAGAGGATTTAATAGAAGGCAAGCAGAATTCTCTCTGCATGCTGCTATTATAGTTCTTGGCCATTTTAATCTAAAAGTTAGTCCCACTTGAATAGGCAGAAATATTCATTTGAAAAGAATGAATCAAACTCCCTGCTCAGGACCAAGGCAGGTTTTCTCTTCAGCCTGTTTTTCTTTAGGTCTTAGGAGCCAGTGGTTTGGAAACCCTACACCAAGCACTCTAGGTCTGCCATCCTCCAAGCCAGCTCCTAAACTCCCTCTCCAAGTCCCTTAATTAATTCATTAGTGCGCCAGCGATTACTCCTGTTGATGACCTTGGTGGCTCTTGGCAAGGTTGGGTCAGCCCAAGCAAGTCCAGACTTATTGTGGCAAATCCCACTGGTTTCTGGGAGTGAGACCTGATCCCTGGACGGCAGAAGCAGCACTTCGTTAGAGAGAACTAATTGGGAGGAAGAATGGGGGGAATAGGGTTCCCTCAGCCAACTGGCTGGTGATGTTGGTGTCAGAGGCCACAGACAGACTCAGAACATCCCATAGCGCCCAGGCCTGCCAGCTGGAGGGCATCTGGAGGAGGGAACACTGAAAACCTTATCTGTGCCCACTATCTCGAGACACCCCTCCCAGGCTAGACAAAGAGGCTTGGGTGGCCCTGAGAGGGCATTGGTTAGAATCTCAGAAGAAGAAACTTCCGGTCCCCCTTGAGACAGTCTGGGAAGGCCCAGAGCCTGGACTTCGGACACGCAGCCTGTGAGGACAGGGACGCTCATTGAAACCAGCTCTCTGCAGCCAGAGCTGGAGACTGGTATGGGCAGAAGATTTGGGGGCCATCTTTCCATTATTTGTCCCAGAGAAACACCTACCTTCAACCCCCAAGACTGGAGCCTCACCTCTGTGATTTTCCTCCTTTAACTTAAGGGCTTAAGTGGAGGGCAGTAACTACTCACCCTGCTGAGACCTGGAGCCTGGTGGGGTGTGTGTATGTGTGTGTGTGGGGGGGGGGTCACCTGTTCCTCCAAGCCCCTCTGTCTGCAGTTTTTTGAGTCGGACCACATATTTTCTCCTCCCCTCCACTTCCTTCTTGGAACCCTCTCCCTGCCTCTGCTGCAGGCCAACCCTGAATTAGCATCAATCCTGCAGTCACTGACTCAGAAATGGGCTCAGCTGCTCCAAATACCACATTCGCCTGCCTCCCCTGGGAAACCTTGCTTTTTCCCACTCAGCTAAGTTTCGGAGGCCCACTGCACCTTCTGATATCTTACCAACCTCCCCACCGCCCTGCCCTTGCCCTGCTGAGCAAGGCTCTTCCAAGAGCTGACCCCCGCTGGCCCCCCCACCCTGGCAGTCAGGTCTCGGCCACACCCACAGACCCAGGTCCTCCCCACACCAGCCCCTCTGCTTTTTCGTACACCTCTGCGGTCTCCACACCTCTGACCTGCCCCTTGAACCCAAGAGACAGTTCAGCAGGCAGGGTGTGTGCCTTGCAAGTGGCCGACCTGGTTCACTCCCCAACACTACCTATGGTCGCCTGAGCAGTGCTGGAACCCCGAGACCAGAACTGGGAGTGGTCCCTGTGCAACTCCGGGTGAGCCACCCCGCAAAAAAAAAGTAAAAAAAAAATCCCTTCCTCACTCTCCTCTCTTGCTGCCTGGTCACAGAGAACCCAGGAGCCAGAGAATAACAACATTCCCACCTCCCTAGCCCGCCCACCCAGCCTCCACCTGCTCTGCCCCCAGGGTTGGCAGATCTCTGTGCTCTGCGGACCCCCAGCTGGGCCCCTGCTGCCTAGAACCCCCTCCACTCCTCTCCTCTGGCCTTCCACTCACATTCACACAGCCTACCCACCTATTTGAAACAGAAAACGAAAAAGAATTATCGAATAAAATCTCGATCCAGTTATAGGTCTCTGCCTCTCTTTGTTCTCAGAGTCCTGCACCCCACTTATTCACCTCTCAGGAAGGGCTTGCCTGGGGTCCGGTGGACACCTTTCCCCCCGAGATGCTGGGCCTCTCAGGAGCCCCACCCTGTGATGGCCATATCCTCTGATACCTCTTAACCTTCCCTGGCCCCTCTGCTTGGCCACCCCTTTCCCCCCAGGCTCCCTGCTGACCCCCCCTCCTTCCTATGGTTTGTCCTGTGACAGCTGCTGCTTCTCCAGCCAGCCCGAACCCTGAGCCCCTCCCTCGGATCTCACGCTCAGAGCCCCCTCCTCAGGGGGCTGCTCCACCATTTAGTGCACGGACTCCACAATATCCACATGGCCTTCTTTGGGGAGCCAGTTCCCCTCATAGTGCTTAGGGGTGACTCTCTGCTCCCTGCTCGGTGGGTGGTCACTAGTGTGCGGGGGACCAGGTACTCAGCCTACTGAGCTCTCTCTGTCCCCCACATGTCCTTCTTCTATTTTTTTCTTTTTGGGTCACACCCAGCGATGCACAGGGGTTACTCCTGGCTCATGCACTCAGGAAGTACTCCTGCTGGTGCTTGGGGGACTTTATGCGATGCTGGGAATTGAACCCAGATCGGCCACATGCAAGGCAAACGCCCTACCCACTGTGCTATCGCTCCAGCATGCCCCCCCCATATTTCCTTCTGATGCAACACACTGTCGCCCCTCAAGCTAGCCCCCTTCGTATCTCCCTCCCAAGAGGGGCCCTGTGCATGTCCTGGTGCTCAAAGCCAGGAGCCAGCACCCACACAGTGCCCGAGCCATCGATGTTATGGATCATGGTCTCCCATTGCGTCAGCCAGGTCCAAGATGCCTCCTCTCCCGCTGACCCTGCGGTCACCCCCCTCAGGCTCCTTTCCCCAAGATCTCCAGTCACCAGGGACCGTGCAAAACCACATGGAGACGCCCTGCAGGACTTTCTTCTCCTGACCCTTCTGCATCCCATTCCCAGAGCCCTCTGGTCCCAGCCCCACTTTCCTGAGGCCCCTCTTGATCCCTCTGCTAGGGATGCAGACTTTCTCTCCTCCTGTAATGGCAAGGGGCGTGCTGTGCACCTCACAACCCACACCCCAGGTGTGCCCACCCTCGCACCTGGCCGCTTCCAGCCAGTGAATGTGGCTCCTCTTGGGTTTGGTTTGGGCCCTGCGGCCTCCTCTCCTATCCAGCTAGCTGCCCGCTGACCTGCCATCCTAAGGGGTTTCACCTTCCACTTGCTACTCTCTGTGGTGTGACTGGGGCCCCCGCCGGGATGGACAAACAGGGAACCTCTCACAAGTCCCAGAGGCCAGAGTTCGGGTCCATCTCCTTCACAGTCTGAACCCAGGGCTTGGCCCAGTACTAAGGATTGAGCACTGAGGGGAGACAGCTCAATGGACTGAGCTCATGCTCTGCATGGGCCTCCGAGCACTGCTGGGAGTGACCCCCGAGTACAGAGCTGGAAGGAGCCCCCAAGCACTGCCAGGAGGAGTCCAAAATCCAAGAAAAATTCATTAAAAAAAAATTGAATCACTGGAACTGGAGCCATAGTATAGCGGGTAGCTATATAATTTGCCTTGATCCCAGCCGACCCGGGTTTGATCCCTGGCATCACATATGGTCCCCTGAGCACCACCAAGAATAATTCCTGAGTGCAGAGCCAGGAGTAACCCTGAGACAAAAAAAAAAAATTTTGAATCACTGTGAATGACAACGTTAGCTATAATTGAGTTGCAGGCATACAATGTTCCAACATCAATCCCTTCACTTCCCTCCACCCATGTCCCCAGTTTTCCTCCCGCCCCCAAGCCTGCCTCTGTGGCAGGCACTCGTCCTTTTCCTTTTAGACGCTGTGGTTTGCAATACTTTACTGAGAAGGTACCATGCACATCATTTTATCTTCTTTCAGAGTCCTCATCCAGAGTCATCACTTCCCTCTATCATGATCGAAATGGTCCCCTCCCTGGCCTATCCCCCTTCCCCCCAAGTGTCCAAGAATAGTCTTGTTTTGTTTTTTTAAAGAAGTATTTCTTACTAGTTGACTGTAAGAAAAGACAAGATCACTGTGCGTGGATCTGGAGAGTATCAAGCTGAGGGAAGCCCATCAAAAGAAGAGGTGAGACACAGAATGGTCGGTCTCATACACGGGATATAAAACATGGCAAGGGACTAATGAGTGACCAGAGGCAACAGGACATGAGAACTGCTCTTCAGAACCGTCTGAAGGGGTATCTGGGCGGAGGGGGGGGTCAGGAGTGGGGACACTGAAACAGTGGGGGGGAGGGAAGAGGGTTCTGGTGGAAGGTGTGTGGCTGGAACATCGCATGCATGAAACCTGATCGTGAAGGATATCATAGATAAGATGCCCCCTAAATTTAAAGAATAAATAAATGAATAAAACTAAAAATAATTGAAGGACAAAAGAGAAGCATTTTTTAATCACTTGAAGAGATTTCACCCACCAGACCCTGCCCATGAGACCTCCCCCACTGACCTCTGACATCTGCGGGAAGAGGCTGATGGCCAGCGGCAGGGCCAGGCCGAAGGCTGCCAGGCACACGAGGCTTTGCACGGGGAGGAGCAGCCGGGGGCGAGCCTGCAGGAGCGCTGTCCTGTGCCGGGAGAAAAGGAAGGAGCTGCCTGAGACCCGAAGACCTGAAGCCGGGGGCCACTGGCTGGGGGTCGGAGGTGACCGGCCCTCTCTCTTCAGAGCCAGCCTGGTTCTGGCCAGTACCAACCCATTTTAGTGGTGATGCCTTTGGGGCCTTCCCAAATTTGCATCCCCCTCTCAGGTTCTCTGGGGTATCAGCCACAACCAGGCGCCACTCTGGGTCTGAGGCCACTGGCACTTAGTGATGTGAAGTCACATGTGGGGGAAGATGATAGAGAGGCTGTGGTCTCTCTGCTCCTGGGCACGTTGCAGTGTGGGGTCACCCTCAAAGGCAGCACAAAATGAACCAATAGCAGAGAAGCCAAGCTCAGACTAACCGCTGTACGTTTGTATGTGCGCATGCCCGCGCATGTGAATACACACACACACACACACACACATGTCCAGGAAGCACGCATTTGTACAGGCACACAGCAGGGAGACAGGGTCCAGTTGTCTGTGTGTGGAGAGAGAATACACTCTGGGGGCAGGGGGAGAGCTGGGAATGAATGAAGGCTAAACTCTGAGCTAGAGCAATGTTGATAAAGGGAGGAGGAGGAATCGGAGATGGAAGAGGAGGAGGAGAAAAAGGAGGAGGAAGAGGAGGAGGAGAAAAAGGAGGAGGAAGAGGAGGAGGGAAAGCGAAGGAGGAAGAGGACAAGAGGAAAAAGCGGGAGGGGGAGAAGGAAGAGAAGCAGGTCCAGTGGTCACCTGGACATCTCCATCCAAGGGCTGTGTGGAGGTCCGTGAGAAAACCACACCAGGTCTGCAGGCCACTGAGACAGTGTTGCTGCCTGGACTCATGTACCATCTCCCCCAACCCCCATGCCCTAGCTCCATCACCAGCATAGCTCAACTGGTACCCACTCCGCAGGGCAAGCTCTGGAGGTAGGTTTCTGGGCAGGAGAGGCATATGCGATGCATCCCCACACAAAATGGGTTTTTCAGACCCGGGGGCAGGGCAGGGGGTGAGGGGCACAGCCATCTGCCCTCTTCTGTCCACTAGAGCAGCAGAGATGAACCTGAATCAGGCTCTCAGAGAGGGCATCTCCATGGCTCAGAGCATCAGGAGGAAGGCGCAGACCCCAGGCCTGGACCCAGCTGAGCGTCTTGGTCCAGTTCCCCCACCTCTTCCTCCAGGTGCTCCTCATCACCCTGCTGGAGGACTCAACGATGCATTCCTGGGCTTCTGGCAGGGGCTGGGAAGTGGGGCTGGCAGGAGCCAGTTTCCAAAGCAAGCCAACTAAGCAGGACACAAAGATGGCCCCGAGCCTCCTCTCAGACTGCTCAAGGGGCCCAGAAGGGGGACAGGCTCTGCAGGGAGTTAGGGCAGCGGGGTGGGCAGCGGCAACTTTGGACCCTAAAGGTCACCTCCAGGAAGGATGGTGAGGTGAGTGAGTGACAAGCCTTGGGTCACTTGTTGGGGACCCCTGGGCAGCCCTTCACCTTTTAGGTGGGGCTGGGCCCTTAGCTTCCTAGCAGGGGGGAACTAGGCCAAGCTCCCCTAGTGCCCCCAATCCAGGAGACAGTGGTAGCCGGGAGCCCCCCTTAAGGCCGAGCCAGGGAGAGTGAACACAGCAGGCAGGGGAGGGGAGGAGGGAAATGGCAGGGAGGGAAGAGGGGAAGGCAGCTGGGGGAGTTAAAATATGCAGATGGAGAGATGTGCGAATGCCTGGGAGAAAGGAAAGACCCGGATCTCAGGGAACAGGAAGCTGGGAACGGCCGCAGGAACCTCTGTGGCGGAGGGTGTGGTCTGCACCCCATCCCAGCCTCCAGCCAGCCCCACAGCCCCGGAAGCTGACAGGGTGTCCTGGGGGAGGCAGGGCGGAAAGGGCCCAGCCTCCAAGTCCAGAACAGACACCTGTGTCTGAGTTTGGGCGGGTGGGGGTGCTGATGTCGGGGAGACTGAGCTCTCAGCTCTGGGTCTAATGCCAGATTCCAGATTTGGGGGGGGGAGCAGAGATAGTACAACCAGGTAGTGCTTTGCATGCCTGGGTTCGATCCCCACCATCCCATTTGATCCGCTGCACACACACACACACACACACACACACACACACACACACACACACACACACACACACCCCAGCACCACCTGGAATAAACCCCTGAGCACAGATCCAGGAGTTATCCCTAAGCACTGCTGGGTGTGTCTCCCCACCCCACCCCTCTTCCAAAAAAAAAAAAAATCAAATAGGGGCAGCTGGGCCATGACTCAGTGGACTGGGTACATGTGTTGTTTGCATGTGAGGATGCTGGATTTAATCCCTGGCACTGCATGGCCTGGCCCTTAGAGCTGTGGCTAGAAGCGACCCCTGAGCAGTACTGGGAGGGGTTTCCTCACACTAGAGTAAATAAATAAATGAAACCAGCTCCAGTAGTGAAGCTGGGGTGTGGGCCTCAGCCCCTCTCCCCCCAGGGAAGCAGCCTACCTCAGAGGAGCAAGGGGGACAAAGGGGGAGGAGGTGTGTGTGCGTGTGTGTGTGTGTGTGTGTGTGTGTGTGAGTTTAGGGGTGCAGCTCCCTGCATGCCTAAGCCCAGGGTGGCAGTGGAGTAAGCCAGACCTCAGTGCTGGGGTGGGGGGGCTCGGCTCTCCTGCTTCAGCCCCTTTTCTTCTAGTCTCGAGCAGGGGCCCCAGGCTGTGCTCCCCACCCTCCCCCTGCAGGAACCCAGGGAGCAGTGCTCCCACAGAGGACAAACGGAGGCCAGAGCACAGCCCCCGGCCTCCACACAACAGCTTGCCTCCCCGTAGCCCTGCATTCCCTCAGCACTTGGAGCACGCCTTACTTGGCGCCCCATTAATTTGCAAGTAGGCTGCTTTGTAAGTGTTCTTTTGTCTTGCTTCCCAGGCTGTCGGACCTCCTCACCCAGCCGGGCCTCCCCTAGAGTGGGGGCTGCCTCTGCGGCCCCTCCCTGCAGAGGTCCTGCCACTGGCACCCCTGCTCGGAACTGCTGCGGGGAGGGGGCTACAAAGAACCCGTGGATCTACTGGAGGGCTGGAATGCAAGGCCGCCCCCCCCCCCCCACCCAGGGGAAGCAGGCTAGGTAGTGAACATCTCTGGGGAAACTGAGGCTGCAGGCAACTCCTCCATCTGTCTGGCCTGCAAGTGGGGAAGCAAGAACCAAAGGGCCTTCTTTTCCTAATGATATTCTGCCCTGTATCTCCAGCCACCCAATCTCATCTTTCCCCCAACTCATGCCCAGTAGGAAATCTCTGAGGGCACAAACAGGACCCTCTTTGCCCTATAAATTTTCTTTCTTTTTTGGTTTTTGGGCCTCACTTAGGCTCAGGGCTACCTTTTGGTTCTGCACTCAGGGATCATCCTTGGCTGGCTCAGAGGACCATATGGGATGCCGGGGATCAAACTAGGATGGGCCACGTGAAAGGCAAACGCCCTATCCACTGTACTATCACTCTGACTTCTGTCCATCTTAATATTTGAGCAGAAAACTAGCAGAATTCTCTCCTCCACGTGACTGGCTTAGGTAGGGTGTGACCATTATGTAGAGCTTTAAAAAATCATGCCGACATGACTTAAAAAAAACACAAAACAGGCTGCCATGATTATGCAGTGAAACACAGGCACCAAATAACTAGAGCGGGATGGAGAGAGAGCACAGAGGGTAGGGCATTTGCCTTGTATGCAGCCAACCCGACTTCCACTTCCACTGCCAGCATCCCATTTCACTCCTGACCAGCATCAGGAGTGGTTCCTGAGTAGAGAGCCACATGTAACCTCTGAGCATTGCTGGGTGTGGCCCAAAAGCCATAAATAAAAATTAAAAATAACTAGAGAAAGAATCTTAAATATGGGGGCTGGAGCAATAGCACAGCGGGTAGAACGTTTGCCTTGCACGCGGTTGCCCCAGGTTCGATTCCCAGCATCCCATATGGTCCCCTGAGCACCGCCAGGAGTAATTCCTGAGTGCAGAGCCAGGAATAACCCCTGTGCATTGCCGGGTGTGACCCAAAAAATAATAAAAAAAAAAGAATCTTAGATATGGAGAAGTGTCAGTGGTCAGATGTGCAGGGCTGGGAAGAGAGTTCATGTTCTGAGTTTCATCCATGGCACTGCATGGCCCCCTAGCTCTGCTGGGGACCCCAAAGCACTGCTGCGTGTGGCCCGGGTGCCCCAGAGCTCCAGCTGGCATGCCCCACCCTTGCTCTTTGCGGTGCCTTTTTCCAGGTGTTTGTTCATTGTCACCCGCCCAGCCTGTGACTTTGCCCTCCCTCAAGACACCCCAGTCCTCTCGCTGCCCCATTCTTTGTGTCCAGGGTGCTCCCCCTCTGCTCAGCCTCTCCACCCACGAGTGAACTCCTTACCCTGGCACTACTCTAGCAGGGCAGACCTGGGGATCACAGCCCCTCTGAAGGAGGCAGGGGTCCACACGGTGGTTTGTACCTGGGAAATGGAGACCCTGAGGCCCAAGAGGTGCCTCACCTACCTCTTGCCCAACACCCTCCCTATTCTTTCCGCTTTCCTCAGATGGGCTTGTCAGAATGGGGTGGCACTGTTCCCTGAGCAGGGTGGACATACAGAGAGACACAGACACTCTCACACACACTCACACACACATATACACTCACACAGAGACATACAGACACAGGTACACATACAGACACATGCAGATGCACACAGACACATGCAGGTACGCACAAAGGCACACACAGTGCACACACAGACACACAGATGACATGGACACCATACAGGTACACACAGACACACCTAGTTGTACATAGACATGCAGATGCACACAAACACACAGATGTATACAGACACATGCAGGGACACACACACACAAGTACACACCTAGACACACCTGTGCACATGCAGACATACACGCAAGTGCGCACAGACACACAGAGGTGCACACAGACACACAGGTGCACATAGACACACATGCAGGTGTTCACAGACACATGCAGGTGTGCACAGACCAGAGCGGTGTATACAGATATACAGGTGTACACATACAAGTGCACACAGACACACAGGTACACACAGACACATGCAAGTGCACACAGACACACATGCAGGCACATGCACACACACAGGTGCACACACAGACAAGCCAACTCAGTCACGTACCCACCTAGCCCAGAACCATTCATCCTGCCGGCTCTGCCCCCCGCCCCACGGCTTCCCAGCATCCAGCATGGTCCCCCCCCCCCCCCCCCCCCCGCTACTCCCCCCCAGCATGCTCCTAGCCCTGCCCAGGCCCCGCCCCTTCCCCTCCCTCCAAACCCTTCTCCTGGTCACCCTGACTCACTTCTCCAGCATGGACATGACGATCGGGGGTAGCACCAGGATGGGCATGGGGAGGACCACGCGGGTCAGCGCCGTCTCCAGCAGGGCCTGGGGCAAGCAGAGGCTGTGGTGAGCAGGGGAGTCGGATGGGAGCACCCCCAAACCGCAGCCCCGAGGTGTGTGCGATGCAGCTGAGCACATCTGAGAGTGGAATCACTCAAGGGACTCGCTCTCAGGGATGGATCCCAAAGCTGCTTCCTTCCCACTACACGAGTCTGAGACATGCGGCTCCTGGTCAGCCACACGGCAGCCCCACCAAGGGCCTGGGAGGAGGTGGCCAGAGGGCTTGGGACACACTGGGACCTGCTCCGGCTCTTCTTTCTCTCTGGCATTCCTTACAAAGATGTGGCACCTCCTGGCTCTGGGCCAGCGCCTGCCTGGCTTTGTCAGGGGAAATGCAGGCACTGCCTCCTGCTGTCCCCATGCAGGGCTGCCCGGGCCTGGGCGCAGGAAGGAGGGCACAGCTCAGAGACAGTCCCACAGCCTGACGATTCCTTCCGCCTTCCTGGGCTTCCAGCCTTCGGAGAAGACGACTCGGGAAAGGCAGAGCCCCCCCCCCTCGCCCCCCGCAGGGCTGCAGAAGGGCTGGGTCATCCCAGGAGAAATGAGGCCCACGGGGCTCCCCGCCTCCACCCTAAGCAAAGTTCTGCATGGAACACTTTGCCCAGAAAACAGGCCTCCTCAGGCCGATTTCCAGGAAGGCTGTGGAACAGACCTCTCGACTCCCCTGAGTGAAGAGGGTCCCAGTGCCGAGGAGGCCATGGCCTCTCCCCCCACTCACAAACCCTGAGACCAGCAGGGGTGGTGGGTGGAGGGTGACCTCCAAGGTTGAAGGTCCAGCCCCAGGAGCCCCTCCCAGCAGCACTTAGAGGCCAGGGAGGGAACCCTCCCCCACCTCCACCGCTGTTAGCATGAAGGCCGGGAGTGTGGGGAGAAGGACTGAGGCACAGCCGGACAGATGGACAGAGGAGTGGATGGTCCTGAGTTGCTGGCGGTGAGCTCGCTGAGAGCAGTGGGGGAGAGAGGCTTCTGGTAACCAGATCCCACGGGGCCTGAAATCCTTGAAGGGCAGCCCTGGCTCCTAGAGGACGGGGCAGGTGCCCATTAGCGCAGGCTCCGCCCACAGGTGAGGCCTCCTTCCCTGGGGGGGATAACACAAGGGCCCAGGGAGCAGGCCCTGGCTTCTGGGGAGGGGGAGGTCGCTGAGGGGGGCTCCCCTCTGCTCTCGCCAATTAGCAGGCAGGCAGTGAGGAGGGACTGGGGAGGAGACCCTCCCTCGAGAGCAGGATGTTTGGGGGCCCTGGGGACAGGCAAGGCTGGGCCCTGACCTGGGGCGGGGAGGGCGGGCTGAGGAAGAGAGCTTAGAGCACCCAGCAAGGGTGCTGAGGAATGAAGCCCTTCTCCCCGCCTCCGCCTCGTGGGCCGGCCTGGCAGCCCCCCTCACCCCCCCCCACCCCCACCCCACCGCAGACCCACGTGTCTGGCTGCGATCCTAGAGGAGCCCACGAGGTTGCCGTCACCGTCCAAGACGTCGATCCCTTCCTCCAGCTCCCCGTAGCGCATCAGGACCACGTTGCAGATGTTGGCGCTGGCTGGAGGAGCACGGGGCGGGGGGTGGGGAGAGGGTGACAGGGAGCAATGAGGGGTGGAGAAGACTCCCCCCAGGCTCCCCTCCAGGCCCTGACAAGGTCAGTGCTCAGACACAGGCACCAGGCCCTGGGGCCCAGCTGCCTCTGAGCCAGCAAAGGCCCAGCGTCACGGGAGGAAGCCAGCACCGTCCAGGGCTCGTCCAGGGCTCCCAGAGCCAGTGCTCCCAGCCTGTGGCACCACCCCCAGCCTCTCAGCAGCCCTCTGGCTTGCCTTTCAGGTCAGACTCCTGAAATGCCAGCCCACCGCCCCCCCCCACCCCCTGCCCAGCCCCACCAACCCTCGCGCTGCAGAATGAGTCGAGCTCTGACAGCAGGTGCCAGAGAAGGCAGGAACCTCAGTCAGTGCTCCCCCCCCACCCCCGGCGCCGCCCCCTCATCAGATGGGTGGGAAATTGAGCCTGGGGTGGGGGCACTTTGCTGAGGTCCCACAGCAAAATGGGACGAGAGCGAGGAGTCTCCCGATGCCTCCTTCTTGGGAACCCCGAGCCAGGAGGGCTGTGGAGGGGTGACAGGCAGAGCTAGACCATCTGTGTCCTTGTCTCCCAGGGTACGAGAGTCCCGCTTTGGAGGGGCGGGGCAGGGGGGCGCTTCCTCCCCTTCGAGTTCATGGGGACCTGAGCCAGGGGGGAGGGTTCTGGGCTCCTCACAGAGCATAGAGTTTGGGGGAGGGGGGTACGGTCAGGGGTGAGCAGCACCAAGAGCGTCATTCCTGAGGTTCACGGGGCTGGGCCCTGCGGTCCAGGCCAGGACAGGCACTGACCTCGCCTGAACTCCAGCCCTGCATCAGGATAAAAGTGGGGGGACTTGGGGGTGGTGGGTGGGTGGGGAGCGGGGGGGGTGACAAATGTGGAACCCGCTGCTTCACTCCTCCCCCAAAAGCGCCTTGCTGTGTTTAAAGTTTTAATTTTTGCTAATTAATGTCAATTAATTTTGTATAATGAGTGTTTAATTTTGGGGAGTGTGTGAGCCTGGGAGCGACTGCAGTTCTGGGCTGTGAACGCTGATTAGCATCAACACCTGCTGCTTCCCCACTCCCTCCAGGCTGGGGGGGGCACCAGGGTTTGGGGAGCTGGAGGGTGGCGGGCCTGTGGGCAGGTGGAGTGGGAGGAAGCCCGCAGATGCTCCCCGTGCCCAAGCCAAAGCCGGAGAGCAGGGGGTGGGGGGACGACGGTCTGGGACCCTTGCAGCTGGGGTGCCGGGTCCTACAGATGAGGGGCCGTGTGAGCCACCCGGGGGCATCTGAGCCTCCGTCGTCTCCTGCTTCCATAAAGCGGGGAGGTGGAATCAACAGAGGGGAAGTCGGAGATGCTCTGCAGTCTTGGGAGAAGAAAGGAGGAAGGAGCCCAGGCACAGCCTTGTACGTATTTACAGCACATATGCCGCCCTGAGCAGCTCACGCGCCGCCACAAGACAGTCACCCGCCACGGGCCCGCCGCGACCCGCTCTCTCGCTGTCGGAACTAAAGGTTGCTCTGGCCTGTCACACCCAGGCCCCTCCCTGGGCCATTCTGCCAGGACCCATCCTTGGAGAACAGGCCCTGAGGGGGAGGGGGGGCGGGTTGCTGCTGACATGTGGAGTGCAGAGACCAGGGAAGCTGTCAAACCTCCTGCATTGCCCAGGAAGCGCCCCCCCCCCACATCGCCTCCAGCCTCCCCCCAAATCACCCGCTGCACATGCCAGCAGCGCTGAAGGGGAGAAACGCTCAACGCAGACAGAACCAAGGGAGGGTCAGCATAAGCCGACTCGAGACAACTGAGGAGCCTCTCGGAGCCTGGCTTTCTGGTCTGGTTGAACTTGGGTCTCAATTTAGATTGGGCGTCTTCCCCCCTTTCACCCTCAGAGGAAAGTTGGGCCCAGCCCCATGTGGGCCCCAGGACCCCCACACTGGCCTTGCCAAGTTGGCATCTGGTCTGCATGTTAGGGACACGCCCTCTAGTGGTGACAGGAAGGAGTTGCAGCCCTTGAACCCCAGAGACTGCGAGGGGTAGGGGTTGGGGCTGTGGGGGGTGGGGCAGGTCCTCAGATGACCCAACAAAACCCTGGGAGAGGATACTGGGGTTCGCTTCCTCATCAAAAGTCATCGTTTCCTGTCCGCTAAGAACCCCTGCTGCTGCCCCCACTACCATTTCATAAAAGGTCAGATTACAACCACGTGGTCCCTGGGACCAGATCTCCTTCCAGTCAGGAGTCCCGTCCACTCCCTCAGCCCAGGAACTGCGGTTCACCCAGCCCTGGCTGCAATGAGAAAAGAGGGGTTGCTCTGGGCAGATCCAGCAGGTCTCTGGACACTGGCGGAGCCCTTGGGATAGCAGCCTCTGCACCCATGCCCAGGTCCCGTCAGACTGACTGGGAGCTCTAGCCCCACCGTGTGCATGCATGTGTGTAAGAGCCAAAGAGAAGAAGCCCAAATCCGGAATGGTGGTCGGCAGCCCCGAGCTCATGGTGGCAGTTCATTCACCTTGTCCACTCTCTACAATTTCCAGATGTGAATTGCAGTCACAGCAGGATGGGACAGAACTTGGGTTCCAAAGCAAAACCATGTGAGATAAAAGGTAAAACACGAAGGGACAGGAGCACCCAGCTCCTGTGAGTCTCTGGGACCTTGGTGAGAGCTGTCAATCCTCACTCCTTCAAGGTGCCAGGAAGAAACCCTGAACCCCCCTAAGAACACACCTGAGCACGAAGGCAACCCTCAGACTCTCCCCTGAAGGGCCCACATTCCTCCTGCCCGCTCCAATGGCATGTACACTTGACTCATTTCTGTGGACTGCACAGCTGTCCCTTCATCTCAGCAAAGGCTGAAGGCACAGACTCCTGGCCACTGCTGGCTCTGAGCAAGAAGGCTGACCGGTTCCATGCCATCGTCTCATCCAGCACTAGTGATTTTGCGATTCCTTTTCAAATCCTCCCAGCCAGATTCTTCCCATCCCATTCCTGGCAAGTCCAGCTTCTGTGACAGACATAGAGCACCAAAGCAAACGAAAGAGAGGAGAGAGGTGAGAGGAGAGAGAGAGAGAGAGAGAGAGAGAGAGAGAGAGAGAGAGAGAGAGAGGGGCTATGGGCCACGGGTCTCTTTTCTTGCACACCAGCAAGAAATATTATTGACAGTATCAGCAGGTTAATTAAGCAGCCTGTTAGTGATAATGTTAAGAAAGCTGGCGCATTTTCAACTCAGATTGACACCATTCAAGACGCAGGCATAACTGATGTTGGAGCAGCGATGCTGGGAGATGTCACAAGATAGTGGGGAGAGGAGAGAAGGAGGGAGGGAGAGAAAGGAGAGGAGAGGAGAGAGAGAAAGAGAAAGAAGAGAGAGAGAGAGAGAGAGAGAGAGCGGAGAGAAAGCTCATTTCACACTGATGGCAAGCTCAGTGTCAAGTCCTGAGGAAAATATGCTCTTGACTGCTGCAGATGTTCTCACATCAAACCCATCGTGATGCAAAATCATGCAGATTGTGAACAGCTAATGAAGCACTGTGTAAAGGGGACAGCGAGGGGAAGAAGAAAGAGCAGTAGACAGGAAGCCAAATGTGCAAGAGAATTCTCAGAAAGAAGACCGCAGGGGAGCTTGCCCTCCAACTCACACAGAAACAGACATGGAGCTGGATGGAGCGAATAGTTCCGATGGGCCGCCGCCTGCAAGGCAGAGAGTTGGTGGTGAAGGTGCCATATTCGCCCCGGGGAAACAGATCGCTCGCAGGGGAGCAGCATGATGGGCTATTCGCTTAGGGAAGAGCTCCACCAGACTACGATGCATTTCCCCATCTATTAATTTTTTGAAAAAATCATGATGTGCCTTACAACGAAGTTCGCAGGGGGTGGGGGACATTTACGCTCTGCGCCTGTGTAAACGTCACCATAGACAGAGGTCACTGTTTGGCTCCAGCGTCCCCCTTAGCCTCCCACAGCCATCCCGACGAACTTGAACTTAAACTTGGAATCCTAATTGTTGCCTAAAACATCTTTTTAAAACTTACACTATAATGGAGCACGGACATGAAAAGTCATTGTACATGCAGAAGATCGTCTGCCAGCTACCAGGCAATGCAATTAAAGGCAGCAGAAATTGCCAAACCATAGATAGCTATCCTAAAGAAATGCTTGCCCATATGCACAAAGAGACATTTACAAGGATGTTAATTATAGCACTGTTTGTAAGAGCAAATAATTAGAAACAACCTAAATGTCCACGATTAGGGAACTCACATGGGAAAATCTCCAAAACAAACTTATGTAAAAAAAAAAAAGAAAAAAAAAAGCTACCGAATATGTCCAGGGTGCTTACTGCATGTAAAACCCTATAATTGGCATACATGCATCTGTGTGTGTAGAAATCCACAGGTAATGTTTTGACAAGCCCACACCTCATAGAGCAGTCCCCTGGGGGGAAGGAACCAATTTGGGAATTAAGAGTTGTTGAAGGACTTCTGTGTTTTCAACTTAAATTTTTTGGTACTGTGTGCATGCTTACAATGAGGATATATCGGACCATTTGTCTTAAAAAGCAAAGAGAACTCACCAAACTGCATGAAACAGACCATAAAAATCTTTAACGCCAAGGGCCTGGCAACAGCTCAGTGGTAGAGGACCTGCCTTGCATACATGAGGCCCCGAGCTCAATCCTCAAGTCCACAAACCAAATAAAATAAACAAATAATAAAAAAAATTGAGCCAGAGAGAATTGGTATGACCTAGTTATGAGCCCTATACTTGGGCATCTAGATGTCAGAATCTTCCTAAAGAAGCTTATGAACTTAGGAGCATTTGTTCATTCAAATAAAGGAAGGGGAAGGGGGGGGGAGAAACTATAAATGTAACCAAATAGGAAATTCAGACCAAAATTCTCCTACTGTTCTCTTATATGCTTTGAAACGACGCTGTTCATTTTATTTATTTTTGTAGCATCCAGAATTGTAGCTAGGACCTCAATGTGTGAGTTAGAG